GGCACAAGCCAACCCTCCCACTCCGTTGTCCGAAGTTAAGCTGGGAAGCCAAGCGAGAAGCAAAAGGCAGCTCCATAGGAGAGAGTAGCCCCACGAGGCCGCCTGCAAATTAAATCCCGGAGTCCAAGGAGCCCCGTGCCGCTTAAGTTTCGTGGCCCTTCAGGACCTGCGCTGCTCCCAGTAGATACACCTGATCTGAACAGGGAGTCAGGCAGGGCTTCCTGACTATCCAGCTGACTTGACAACAATTGCTAAAGTTTTTAATTAGCTGCTTGTTATCATTTATTTTATTAATTTCCAGAACTCTCAGCCCATGAATTATTCAAAGGGCAAGCCAACCCGAGTGGGGCGGCCGTTTGCCTTCGCCCCAAGTACTGTGCCCGGGTCTGGCCTGCGCCGATTGCCGGCTGCCCTGTGAGCCAGCCCGGCGCAGGAAGCCACCGTGGCGAGAAGGTTTGATCAAACATTAAATAACGTAATTATTGCGACAAGGCTTATCTCGCAAGTGGAAAAGAGGCCCCCATGAGAATTAGAATTCACTGCTATTTTTAAAAAATCAATTAGGCTCGCGATGTTCTTTGAAACAGCCCGAGAGGACCGTGTGGCTCTCACCGTGGGGCTAAGACTGCTGCGGCAATAACACCGATGGCAGAATGGTACCAATAATAATTGTGGTCATCATCTTTATCGCCCTTAAACAAGGCCTTTTAAATCGGACAGGGAATGCTAGTTTTAGGCAGGATCAGACGCCCCACTCTCAACTTCACCGACGAAAATATGGAAGCCTATCAACCTGAAAGATGAATTACAACTGCGATCAGGAGAGACAGCGCGACCGGGCAGGGGCCAAAGGCGGGGGTGGGCCAAATGAATCGCCCAGACTTAGGGCGCCCAGTCCTCTCACTGCATGGCTACGTGTAGGAACCGGACTAAGTAGTCTTAGTATCAAAGACAGTAAAAAATCGATACAATCACGGCACTGGGTGCCTACAGTTTATAAGCGTGTAGTTGAAGTTGAGAATAGTTTCAGAACACGAATTAAAAATCTATTCAACATTTAGGCGATGGGTCTTGAAGACATATTTGACCTACGAAGGAGAAGGAGCAGGACCCCGAAAGAGAGAAAATGTAAATAGATGGTATAAATGTGGCAGATGCATTTAATGCTTATTTTCCTTTTGCCTTTCTTAACATCACCACCGCCTGGATTTCCTGAGAAGCTGAAATGCAACGCAGCCCAGTTCTTCTCTAACTTATTTCGAGATTATTCTTTTTTTAAAAATCCAAGCCACACATTTTTATGTGTTTTCATGCATTGACTGGTGCTAGAATCCAACCAAGAGTGAAGTTCCACTCATTAGAACCAGAAAACTTTGGAAGGCCAAACTATCACTGAGTGGCAAGCCTTTCACTCTCTTCAGGAGGACGTTTTGCTGTCGCTGTTTATTCTTTCATGAGTTGACAGTTAAAAGCATCTGAGCGTAGTCATTATTTCTTCCACCCATATACAGATTCATTCACCAGAAAGCAAAAGCACGTTGTTTTGCACAGTTTCCTACTACATAAAATAGGAAACTCTGCAAAGCATGTATTTTCATGATCTGCTTTATTAGCATAATAGTAATCTTTATTTGGTAAAGATTTTACTTAATATAAAACCAATGCTTAAGTTCTTAATACATACATTGATCATCATTATATAATACAAATGTATTTGCCTGCAACATTTCCTTTTGGGGCAGACTTTAGGAAAAAACCAGAAAAAACCTTTGTACATCTTTTCATTTGTTCATTCCTGGTTCTCCAACAATGAAATCCTGGTTATAGTTTTCTATAAAATAACGTGATTTCTTTTTTACAAATGCATTTTATTTAAAACTTTGATGATATTGCAAGTCAGTAACAACAGAAACAAATCAATTTAATGGAAGAGATCTATTTTTAAAAATACCTCTAGTGCTTTTTTGAAAACATTAACAACTGTTTAAAATCACAGCTTTTTAAATGTACTATTCTTTTTCGAACATCAAGGGTTTTGTTTCACAGATTTGCCGGTGAAATTAAAACGATTTGGCTAAAATAAGATGATTTCAGAAGATATAATTACAGCTATTAAGAAACTTTGTACATTTGGCATCTGATCTAGTCCCAAGTCACCAAGAAATAGAGAATCTCTGGTCACTCTGGATCAGTAGGTGGCACACTAAATGTTCCAAATGAACAGAAGTATTTGACAAGGTATTTGGATAGTTCAGTGGATAGCTTTAAAAATTAACCTCCAAAGACATGTCACTTAGTTACAGTATTTTAGAACTGTTTTTAGGCTTGAACGTCACATACACACCTCCAAATACCTCTGTTCCTGACCCTCAGTTTAAATATTTTTCGGGTAACCGGATATATATTTGTTACCTTTCACCACTCTGAATCAAGTGCTGTGGTTTAATAGTTTCTGTAGTGGAAAAAAAAAACTTTTATAAAGACAGATAGACAATGTAGAATTCATTTTATTCAGAGCACCACTTTTCACATGAGTTATTTGAAAGTGAATTCTGATTCGGCAAAAAAAAAAAAAAAATTACATCGTTTTCTTCCTTTTTCCTCTGTTCATCCCCCTTTCCAATCCTTCCCCATTTTTGGTTTGCTTGGGTTTGTTGTTGTTGTTAAATTATGTTTCATTTGTTGAACGGCTCTACCAGGATTTGGCCCAGTATAAACACAAAAATGCACCCAAATCATAAAACTGCTCTTCTTTCAGTTATGTTTTATTCGTAAGTGTACTGGGACGCATCCCCCTGTTGTATTTTGGCGCACAGAAATGGTTCTGATAGAAGTGGGAGGGGAGGGAGAAGGTTAAAAAGACATAACCAAGGAGAAAGCTCAGCAGACATACATGAACATGTAGATCAATTTGTGAGACATTTCAGGATTAACACTAGCAGTTTGTAACCACTGTGTGAAGTGTGTGCATTAAATAAAATATTTACAATAATCTTCCTTTTCCTCTAAATACAAGAATATGACAAAAATGTTGTGTTTTCAGTGGAAACAGGCAGTAGACTGTGAAATCACACTATGCACAAAACGGTCTACCAGAAAGCTAGTCCAGTTTAGTAGTGCTCAGTTTCAAATGCATAGAATGTTTGCCCTGCAAACAATGATATACAACATAATTAAATAAATAATGCCTAACCAGAGTGAGACCTAATTGTGTTTCTTTCCACACTTTCAGATCATGCATGATTTCAGTCTTGTTAAACAAGTTTTTTTCTTTTCTCATTTGTTCTGTTTTCTATGTTTAGTTATAATTAAAAGATGGTAACAAACCATCTCCACATGAGATCCAAAGAGTTATCTTGTATACAAAGCAGGCATTGTACCTAACCACCTTCAACTATCTTTCTCATTTATTTTAATCCATCAGCAGCTTGTAAGATACCTTGATTATTACTATGAAATGCTATACATGATTTTCTATTTGGGAGACTGATAGTGCAAATTGAAGTTCTTGCTACCCAACATTTATTTGCAGTAATAAATAGCTCTTGAATAATAATAACAATAAAAAGGAAATAGTTGTTCTGTTCCCCCCCCCCCCAACATGCAGACCTCTGAAACAAATGGAGATGGGGGAGTGCTTTGAATCTATCTTCCTCTCTTCTGGGATTTAGGTAATTTTCTCACAGCTAAGTCCTGCCCAAACAGAAAAGAGAAACTTCTTAACACATCAATAATTTCATGGTCTCCAAGAGAGGAGGAAAGGGAACCTAGAAGAGCAAGATAAGTCTTGTTTACTGGAGAAAATGGGAGGGAGTATCTATCCTAATAACTTTCAACCCACCAGTCTGTTTGGGAGGAGGGTGAAAACAGTAGGGAGTTTAAAATAAACCACTCTAAAAATTAAAAGAACAGCCTAAGGTAGAGTATCTGTGAGTGGAAGAAAAAGGCTCATTTTAAAAGTCTGTTTTCTAGATCTTAGATATAAGACCAAAAACAAAAAGGAAAATCTGAAGACGGTTTTCCTAAAATATTTTCAAGCCCCTAAATCTGCATTTTAGTCAGTTCAAAGACTGTGACTGTCTCTCTCTTAAGACCCTCACCCCACAGGGACCAAACCACAGGCATATAGGCCAGGCCACTGAAAAACTTGGATTCCATCTAAACCAGCAGTTGGCCTTCCACCGACCCCCTTCACAGCTGTGCCCCCACTAACTTCCCAGAGTTAGAGAGCACCCATTGGAGCCTCACTGGGATGGAGGAAACAAATAATCAAAGAGGATATGAATGGGGTGGAGGTGAGATTTAGAGGGAAGAATTAACTACAGAGAACAACTAGCTTCGCTACCTAGAATTTTGCCTTCAGGTTCATTGGTTTTCGTTTTCGTTTTTTTGTTTTTGTTTACTCAGTTCGTGTGTGTAAGGTTGGGGGTGGTGGTAACAATGGTGGTGCTCTTTTTTTACTTCCTTGGGGGAAGTGAAGCTGCGGATTATGGCTCCCCAGAGTTAAATTTCTAAAGCACTTTCTTTGCTTTTGTTCTGTCTTAGTTTGTCTATATTTGTCTAGTTTTTGGTGGTTGGTACGTTTTTTGTACATAGTTCCTTGGTCCCCAGGAGATTTTGGTAAGTGTCTCTGGTCAAAAAGTCCATTGCCCTACCCTTCCCGCTTCTCCCCCCTCCCTACCCCCTAGAACCATCCTGCTCCTTGAAACCCCTGCTCTAGACTCTGCTTTCCTTTCCCCACTCCCTGCTCACCCAAATGCTCCCCTCTTCTCCTCCACTCGGTCCTCTCCTTTCTCCCTACCCAGCACCCTAGTCCTCTAGGCTGGGGGACAGTACAGGAAGGGAGAGCAGAGAGGAGATGAAGGAAAGAGCTCGAGGAGGGACTCTCCAAATGCAAGCAGGTAACGGACACTCCAAATCCGAGGAGAGGCAGGCAGAAGAAAGCCTCCTCCCAGGCTCCCCGCTCCTCTCTCTGCCCCACCCCGCACCTCCTACCCCCCTCAGTAAGTGGCAGAGAATTTCATCCGCTTCTGCTTCTGTCTCTGGTTGCAAAACCACACCCGCACCACGTTCTTTTTGAGGTCCAGTTTCTCAGCGATGGCGGCGATCTTCTCGGACGAGGGCCGTGGTTGTACAGCAAAGTAGGCCTCGAGGGAGCGTTTCTCGGGCGCGGCGATGGAAGTCCGCTTGCGCTTCTTCTCGCCGCCGTTGAAGAGCTCCGGCTTGTTCATTTTCTCGCGCTGCGCGCCCTCGGCCTCCTCGAGCCACGCCTGCAGGATGGGCTTGAGCGCGATCATGTTGTTGTGCGAGAGCGTGAGCGACTCGAACCTGCAGATGGTGCTCTGGCTGAGCGAGCCCACTCCCGGGATCTTGAGGTTGGCCAGCGCCGAGCCCACGTCGGCCTGCGTCACGCCCAGCTTGATGCGCCGCTGCTTGAAGCGCTCGGCGAACGCCTCGAGCTCGCGCGGGTCCGTGTCCGAGTCGCAGATGGACGCCAGGCCCGCCGCGCCCACCACC